ACCCTACAAAAAACATGTCTCATCACCATCTTTGAGTTAATGTAATTTTATTATTAAAACTGGAGTTCCATCGTTGAGAAACTTTCTTTAAATATTAACTTTTAAGACCACGGCCGTATATTCAAACACGAAAAAGCACCATCGGTAGCTACATGTGAAGCCCACAAACAGAACATTTGAAACGTGCAGCCAAGTTACCAATGAACCTTTCAAAATCTTCGTACCATACGTGGTAACGGCGTAAAAATGTTACAAATATAAACTTTCATTTGACGTTGTGCCATATGGTATTATTTTGAAAATATTAACTGCTGACATGTAAATTATGCATCGTGGATATCTTAAACGTTCAGTTTTAATCGTACGTTTAGCCACACCGTTAATGCTCACTTTATATTCCGGGAGCCAGTGCACCCCTCACATTACGAAAATGTTCGAATTAAATGTAATTATTTCTCTCAAAATTCTACAACAGCACATTCTCAGTATTAGCTTTGTGGGGAAATTGTCTCGTGAAGATTTGACAACCGCAATTTCACAGAATCTGCACGTGGCATGTTAATGAGTCACGAGGCTGTACGATCGCCGGAATTCACAACTGTCCTGAATCCTCACGTTTGTGTTGTTCTTTGTAGAAGAGTAATACAAGCACTAAGCATCGTGTTGGTGACTCCCACTTCTCTCCATATTGCCTAACGTATTGTTTACACAGGTCCAGGTTTATAATGGGGGGTCGATGGGCTCCAATTTTATAGCCGCTAACTTATTGGGAACGCCAGCCGTTTGTGGAACCTATGACACGGCAACACACTGGGGCAGTTCCGTGCAGAATGCGCAGAAGGAATTGGCCCTCCAAGTGGCCAGTGTGTGTGTTGGGTGTGAGTGAGGTCTTGGAAAACAAGGTGAGGGGCACCGATGGCCGCGTGGCACCACGGCTGAGCGTCCCAAATCTCGTAATCGCTCGGTTCATTCGAGCGTGGACACACTGTCGACTCTTGATTTCTATTGGCCAGGTTGGCAAAAACAATGCGGACCTATTGACCCAATGAGGGGGGGGGGGGGCTTCTCGTGGAGTTTTCACATGACAACATCGCAGGGCCCACAGAAACACCGCGTCACAATGTCTCAGTGTTGTACTCTATAGCACTTTATGACTGTGTGGGGGGAAATCTGCTGTCCAATTATGTAAAGAAAAGCCGGGGTAAATGTATGTTTCACTTACTTCGTAAGCAACACCTCTGCGGTTAATGCAACTGAGTGCCTTTGCATTAGGATTGATTGAGGCTAAAATAATAAATCAGTAATTTTGTTTAAGCATTATTGCTTTCAATGGCCTGCTTTCAAATCGTGTTAAGTGCCCCTATGCCACTCATTGGTCTTTTTGATAATTTCATAAACTTAATTGGATATTGAGACAACAGCAATTGCCTGCTTGCCTAATCCGGATGCTTAATATCCCAGGAGAGTAATAAGGCTGTGTGATAATTTGCTGCAGTGAGATGATATTTGTAATATCCTGTTTGTTGTACTGGGGCTTGTTTTATTCTTGTTATCTGGAAAGTGCGTGTCCGCAAACGACTACCGCATTACACAAAGCTGACCAGTAATTACACTGCTCTAATTCTATACATTTCCCAAATTATAGGGAGTGTCATGAAGCACAGTTCCATAAAAATGTTTTACTTCACATACTTTAGACAAATTAAAATCGAATGAAAATGTTCCAGCATTACATTATAAAGTGGGGCGAAGGCTCTTTTGCACAGAAGTATAACAACAAATATTGTTATATAAACGATATTGCAATGTAGCAGAGTAATGGATCACACATCCTTTAATTTCTATTCTGTGGGTAGCTCTTACACATTTAGTCTCTTTTCAGACAATTATCATCACAATTTTTTTGTTATCCAGTCACTTTACATTACACAGTTCAACCAGCACATCCACTCACAAAAATGATCACCAATGGGCAGAGTTCCTCTTCCACACCCGCGTTAGATACCCACTGACACAAGAGTGCACAGCAAATCACAACCAAAAACGATCCGCTCATTGCAAAGGGAACCAGAGACTAGAAAAGCGGAATAATGGTTGCGAAACTTTATTCCTGGCCCAACTACAGGATCGAGTGGCGAGTGGGGTCAAAGGGCACCGGGGCCTGTGCCAACTGGCTCGAACTCACAACGGCGAAACGTGCCTCGACCATCCCCCCCCCCCCTTTGGACGAGCTTTCAAAGTTAAACTCCGTTGTTGAAAAAAGTAACGAGGGTTGAAGCTGGCTTCTCACACCAATGATTGCAGACATAAACCATCCGTTTGCCTTCTGAATTTTCTGCTCGAAGGTGAACCAGTCTGTGGCTATAAATAAACGGGCTGAAACGACGGGAGGTGATGGACCCACCTTAAGAGATCCTGTGCTTCACAATACAAAGTCTCAGACGGCTATTGTGGGGGTGTGCACTGATTAGCTACACACACACATACGGCAACGGGAAGGCACCATCTCGCAAAGGGGTTGTTTTCAATCCAGAGATGTCAAAATAAAGAAATTATCATCGCTTCACTACCGGCAGTCAGAATTAATCGTTCATCAATGGACGTAGCTCCGATGACACATTGTTGCACGAAAATTACAAGTATATAAGATTATATCCTGCACTGTGAATCATAACAGCACATAAGAGTACTTGAATCTACCCTACTGTGATAGCACCTCTGCTCTCTGAGATGAGAGGAACTACTCAACACGCCTGCTGCAATCTGTGCAGCAGGCCACACTATTGTTGGGTTAACAATTGCGGCAATTGCCCTTCTGACTCCTGCAAAATGTTTTCCCCGGTCCATTTGTAATGTAATTTCACTGGGCCAAACACATTTATCAGCTGTGCAATGTTAAGTCAGTGAGCTGTAAATAGGGGACCATACCTGCCCTTGACGCTCTCGCCATCACCTCAAGGTAGGATTTAGTTTTAGTAGTCATCAGCACAACCGAGTTGAAACCAAAGTAGATGAAGCCAGATTTATATTAAGTTTCAATCTCGATTTCAGTTCGTGTTATTGTCCTGTGGGATGCTGACCTTCGTCATGGAAATGTGGAATTTCCATCCCTGGCTTGGGGCCACTCGTGCCAGATTGCACATTTGAATGGGGAGATGCTAACTTTAGACCTTTTTAGTTTCAAAGGCAATACATTTTGTCATCAATCTCATCCTGCTTATAAAAAAAAATCTGGTGAATTTCTCAAAATGAGAAAAAAAATTGTAATAACTGTAGCCCAGTGTATCGTGTCAGGTAAGATTGTATTGATTTTAGCACAGTCTATCTGAATCAATATCATGATAAAAAGCCTATCATTATAGTCGATGATTTGCCGTATGCATTTTCTGTCTCTGAGTCAATACATCTTTACACAACTCTGGTTTGGAGCTCTTTGTATAATTATAATGGCCGCCAACTTAAATATTGTTACCATGCTTATTAACGACAACACCGGCAATGTTGCTTCTACCATTTGTGCTCGTCGACACATCCGAAATGCTCATCACAGCCTTTTCAGGATTCTAACGTGCCCTAGAATGTAAACCATTTATATCAGTGTCAATTGTTTATGTTTAGAATGGTCAACCAGTGTGTTGGAAGAGTAAATACACAAAATGTACAATCTGAGTACAACACACCGGTGTGCTGTGTATTAGTAACGAATTGGCATGTTCTGTTAACGTGACAAACCTTACTAATTCGCTATGTGGGGCAGTGGCGGGTTTTAACGACATTTATATTTATGCGATCTAACCCCCAAAAAAACGTACATTTATGGATGATATTGGTCGCAAAAGCCTACGTGTCAAACTGTGTTAATAAGTGCGAATTAAAAAGCCTACAATTTACCTTTGCTGTTTTAAAGTGGACAGACACTCTACTCACCACCGCTGTCTGCTCCGAATAGCCATTGCCTGAATCGTTATCCTTCGACCCGTATAAACATAAATTTTCAAGTGTTAGAACGGTTCTCGACAAACCCATGTATTACACACGCTCGTCACTAATGCTTGTACTGCCTTAAAACATTAAACATTCATCCTACGTTAGTTTTTTGCAGTGGCCCACCTGCACAGCAGAAGTGGTCACCGTATGTAGCCAACCCTGCTAATCGGAGATGAGAGGGAAGGACAACAAACTAAACACAAAAAGCAGTTCTAAAGAAATGAGTTTTCAATCTAGATTAAGAAGTGCATAACTCCAGTGGCTTCCTAATATCAGAAGAGCGTTCCAGACGGCCGCATAAGCGCATCTGAAAGCGCGCGATGCGGTGACCATCTTTGTTTGATAGCAAGCCAAAAGCCACTGCTGCGAAGATGACCGGAGTTCTCATGATGGTTTATGTTTCTTGACAAGATCAGCAAGGTATTGTGGTTCATCTGTGGCCAAGCACTTTGTGTGTAATGACTGCAACCTTATGGCTGTAGATTTTCACTTTGGCCTTTGCCTGGCTATGATATAAAAATGTATTTTGCACGACTTTGTCCAACCACTCTTTACACAATACGAAGGAGCGCCATCTATAGATAAGGATTTTCACTTATAGGATGTTTACATGAGATAATTTTGAACATGATGCCGGCACACACAGCCTGATCTTTTTCGAATAACATCACGGGATCGCTACAGGCGCATATTCATTGGTTATACAACAGGCAGTCGTAACTGAGGTGGCCACTGGGCTCGAACCGCGAACCTCTGCAAACTTATGCTTGCTTGGCCTTGCTTGGCCTTGTTGAGCTCGCACCGGGGGACCCTTAGATGTGAGCCTACATCGGGGGACCCTTTGATGTGAGCTTTGAGAAGTGGGTGTTACCCGCAGCATTCTATCAAAAGGCTGCTTAGCCCAGCCCTCCCACCCACCCACGCCCCCTTACTGACTCCTCCCCCCTCCCTTAACCTGTATATAACCCAAGGTCGTCTCTGAACTATGCTCCTGACACAGATATTCTGCGCTGACTTTTCCACCTGAAGACGGAAGCTTGTGTTGGCTCCGAAACGTCGTGATTTAATTGTTTTATTTTGTTTTATTTTATCTACGTGACTTTACCGAATAAAACCAAAGAGTAGGCCCAGCACGGGCGAACTATAAAGTGACTTGAGTAGTGTTCCCGTGGTGTCATTGCCTGGGGGCAATGCACTGACAGAATGCGCTGTGATGAGCAGTTCCGCAGGGATGTTTCTTCACCTCTTGTGTTCAAGCCGTTTGGGTCTAAGGTTGGTGATGAAAAGCGAACATTGTGAAACATTGCACGTTCAAAATATCACCAAAATTCAATCGTAAGGATGTTTAATTTAACGAAGTCATTGCAACAATGTAATGTTCACTTTGTACGATGGAGACTTTTTTTTTTACTTTAACAACTAGACAAGTGGACGATTACATCCTCAATCGTTTCACACCAAGCCAAGCAAGCCATCATCGCCAGGCATTGTAGATTCAAATAACAATTCCCACCGTTACTCAACGAAGAATCATCAAGGTCCATTTACTGAAAATCTACTTCCAAGTTGCTTATCTTGCAACAGTGACATCGCGTTCCTTCAGCGTAAGGATCAATTTGATCTGCATCACCAACCGCATCAAGTCGTTTCCGTGCATCATCTGACCGAGCGGTGCTGATGGCAAAGTGCTTTGCTCGCAATTAGAAGTCTGCGCGTTTGAATACCAGTCTGGGGGTTGACATCTTTCATCCTTTCAAGGTCGCCAAAATTAGTACCACTTTGTGGGATGTGAACAGCGACCCTTCCACACATGGAGACAGACTGCCCCCCCACCATAGGAACGTGGAATCTCCACTTTCGTTTCGGGGCCATCAAACTAGTTGAATGCCGTTCACAATTCCTGTCAGAACGTGGGGCCCACCTCCAACTTTGATTGTTGACTGCGTGCCGCAAACGCGACAATCGGGGCCGTACGTAGAGTTCGCTCCGATTAGCCGGGCACACTTGGGGGAGCGCAGCGCGTCCGTGGCTAAAGCATCTCCAGGTTGTTGTGATGCTCCGCTCCGGCCGGCTGCTCGCGGGGGTGCAGGGGCATGAAAGGTTGCAGCGCGGCACCCTTGTCGACGTCGCCGCCGCCGCCGCCGCCGGGGAAGTCGGCGTGGCGCGTCGCGGCCTGCGGGAGGCAGGAGAGCGCGAGCGGGCTCGAGCGGCCCCCGTCCGCCGCTCGCCCCGCGCCCCCCGGCACCCAGGGCTCGGCCGGCTTGCAGCGCAGGTGCGGTGGGGGGGCGGGCACAGGGGGACGAGGCCGCGGCGGCGGCGTGGGGGTCCGGCGGCCTTCGATGGTGCAGGGGAGCTGCACGCGGCTCACGAGGAGTTCGACGGAGTCGCGCGACTCTGACACGAGCGGCACGAGCGAGCCGCAGCCCGCCTCGCCCAGCTGCACGCCGTTCACCTGCAGCCACCGTGACAGAGGGGAGACGTGCGCAAGTGTCTCGGGCTTGCATGCGTAGCCGTGGCTCCGCTCAGGGTCTGGCTCGAGCGAGCCGGCTCTCGGTATTGGTCCTGGTCATGAGGCTGGGCCTGAGCCAAGCCTTGGCACGTCTTTGGAAGTGACCAAGCGGCTCAAGCTTGAGCTGAGCTGCGTTGGACGCCCAGCCAAAACCGAGCCACGACTCAGAACAGTGTGGGTTACACAACTCAAAGGCAAGCACACGTGTGTGTATGTCAGTGTGTGTTTGTGGGGAGCGGTAGTGTAGCGGTTAGCACTACGAACCTGGCGACCCGGGTTTGATTCCCACTCACGGCCAACACCAGTGACGATTATATGAACTGGTCCTGGGCCTCCCCTAGGTCGACTCAGCCTCAAATGAGTACCTGGTGCTACTTGGGAGACAAAGGCGGCCGGGCGTGGTGTAGGCCACCCACCCCATCGTGTGCCGTGCCGGCCTTCATAGGTGCTAGCTAACAGCACTTGCTCAACAGTCTGTTAAGGCTATACAGGGGATCTTTGTCTTTGTTTGAGGCACATTGTTATAGTGGTGTGCGCACTACGCTTCCAATCTTGCGACCCAAGTTCATATTCTAGGCCATGGCTCACATCATTGGTGCATAACTTAACCGGTTCTGAGCCTCTCCTAGGTCTCCTCAGCCTTATATAAGTACCTGGTGCAAGTGTGTAATGATCTGTATAGCACTGCGTAAGTTTTTGTGGTCGTGTTGTATATCTCTACTGTGTTTCGGTACTCTGAATGAGCTACCAAGCGCATGTAGCGAAACATCGGATGTCATGGCGAACAACACTAGGAAATCACTTACAATGATGTTGTCCGTGGCCAGAGGTGGAACCAAAGTCGTTAGGGTCATGGGGAAAATGCGCTCACCACCACACTGCTGCTTTCCCACCTATAACACTACGTAACATTTTTTTTGTTCCTGGGTAGTAATTTTTATTTCCGAATTGCTTATGCCTCAAAAGTACAGAAAATGGATGTTATTCCCCACAAACTTTGCTTTTGTGACCAGGACAGTGATATTTTGAAATTTACCTATTTTCCAGAACAATCCAGATAGATTCAGTGCTGAGTAAACTTGTCGTAACTTCTATAACATTCTAGAACTTTCCAGTAATAGAAATAGTAGTATAAATACAGGGGCCTTAAGCCCACCAGTTCCGTTTAGTTCCAGTTGCCTAAGTGGATACATATCTGCATGTTTCTGAGATGGCATCAAGAAGCTGCAAGCATCCGGCAGACGCATTTTGCTATGTCTGCGGCCAATTTATCAAGACAAGAGCGAAAAAGTACTCTGTGGACGAATCTGCTAAGATGTGTGAGGCCTCCAAGGCATATTTCGGGATGCCTGTCGGGGATCAAGACAAACCTTGGGCACCTCATTTCACCTGCGAGCAATGCAAACAAACTCTGGAAGGTAAGATGGACAATTGTTGCTCGAAATGTTGTTATAGAATTTGTTTAAAAAAAAATTAAATTGGCAAAGTTTTTCATTTAAAAATGTTTTACAATTTTAAAAAAAATATATCATATATGAAAAATGTTGCGAGAATCTCTTCCACATTAGTCATGGGTGAAATAAATGTATTTTTGTAACCCCATCCAAAAAGACCTTAACGACTTGATCAGATATCTTCTCCTCACCAAGTCCAATGCCGAGCTTTCACGTCTATGCTCAAGCAGTGGAACTTGTTGGATAAAAGTGTGCAAGTCACAGATCAGAGGAAGTGTCACCAACCTTTTTGCCGATTCTTCACCCGTCAAGATGGGCTCTGCTTCTGCCACAATGTGACCAGTCTGTTCGAGGCAATCAGAATCGCCTGTAACCAGAATGAGTGGCGCCTCTTCATTGACAGCCCACCCAGGAGTGTCAAAGCCGTGCTGCTCCCTAATGGTAACAAGTACCCATCTCTTCCCCTGGCTCACTTGGTGCACATCAAAGAGGATTCCAACAGCATCAAGACCTTGCTGGATGCCTTGAAGTATGATGAGTACAGCTGGGAGGTCATCGGAGACTTCAAAATGGTGGCATTCCTGATGAGTCTCCAAGGCGGTTTTACCAAGTTTCCCTGCTATCTTTGCCTTTGGGATAGCAGGGACACCCAGGTGCACTACCACAAGCGGGACTGGCCACAGCTGACCGAGTTCTCTGTGGGGAGGATCAACGTCAAGTGGGAGCCACTGGTGGACCCCCGGAAGGTGCTGATGCCACTACTCCACATCAAATTGTGCCTTATGAAACAATTTATCAGAGCTGTGGATAAGGAGTCGACAGCCTTCAAGTACCATCAAGACTTCTTCCCTAAGCTGTCTGAGGCAAAGGTCAAAGCCGGTGTCTTCGTCGGACCACAGATAAAGAAGATCCTGGAGTGCAATGGCTTGGAACAGCTTTGTCGCAGTGGTTCGTGGCTTCCTGGGCAATCACAAGGTCGAAAACGATGCGGAGCTGGTTGAGACTCTGGTGAAGAACTACCGCACAATGGGCTGTAGGATGTTCCTCAAAGTCCATATCCTTGATGCTCATCTTGATCAATTCAAGGAGAACATGGGAGCGTACTCGGAGAAGCAAGGCGAGCGCTTCCACCAGGATATACTGGACTTTGAACGCCGCTACCAAGGACAGTATAACGAGAACATGATGGGAGACTACATTTGGGGGCTGATTCGTGAAATTGATTTACAGTATAATCGTAAATCTCGAAAAGCTACTCACTTCCTAAATCTTTTGTCGTCAAGCCATTTTCTATACTTTTAGGCATAAGCAATTACGAAATAACACTTACTACCCAGGAACAAAAATAGTGTTTCATAGTGTAATCTTAACAGACTGTTGAGGCGAGTCCTGTTAGCGAGCGCCTATCAAGGCTGGCACAGCACACAAGGAGGTGGGTCGCCATCACCACGCATTGCTGCTTTTGTCTCAGTGGAAATGCTTACACATCGCACCAATAACAAATTTGGGGCTGAGTCGACCTAGCGGAGGACCAGGGCCGGCTCAGATAGTCTACACTGGTGTTGGCCGTGAGCGGTAATTGAACTCGGGTTGACAGATTCTTAGCGTAGCGCGCCAACCGCTATACTACCCCTCCAACCACGCATGCAAAGCACACACACACGTGCCAAAAATGTAACGGATGGTGTGTTTTTCAGAAGGAATGGCACACGAGCGCAGAGTTTGTAAACACTCGGCTGCAGCAGGAATATATCATGCAGAAATAGCGTACGGTGGCTGTAAAAGAGCATGTGGATTATTTACTGGTTATCCCTTCCACAACAGCACGTGACCTTATTCTGCCACAGGCACTTCAGCATAAATGAGATGCTGCGTCTGAGTTGCGCATCCACGTGAAATATGTTAACATATATACGGACAGATGGACACGTATAGATAGCCTGATTGATGTGCAGATGCATGGACGCGTGGATGGACAATACATTTTGTTTATACGCTTGCAGGCTGCGGGGTTGATTAATGTGGGGAGATTCAACAAGAGAAATGGCACGGCTCGAGTGTGTGTGTGTGTGTGATAGAGGCTTTTACAAACACCTTGCTCAGTAAAGGCACGGTGCTTATACGAACAATAAATATCGCGGTAACATGAACAAAGAATGAGATCCCCCGTATAGCCTTAACAGACTGTTGGGGTAAGTGCTTAATTAGTGAGTATCTATGAAGGCCGAAACTGCACACGAGGGGATGGGTGGACAATTCGACGCCCGCCCATCTTTGTCTCCCAAGTGCTGATGTTTACATACCGCACCAAGTACTCATCTAAGGCTGAGTCGACCTAGGGGAGGCCCAAGACCGGTTAAGATATTCACCACTGCTATTGGTCGTGAGCAGGAATCGAACTCAGGTCGCCTTGTTCGTAGTGCAGCACGCTAACCACTACACTACCGCTCTCCATGAACACACACATGCCCAAACGCACAATGCAGTACAGACCTAGTACACGCGAACATTCATGCAGCGGATAAACATGATGAAAAATAATAACAGACTTTACCCTCTCCTACAAGAATACAGGAGGTGTTACGATGTTCAAACACCAAATAGGCACCAATCACAAGACATTAAGTCTGCATTAACCACACACGTGCTTGTGGGAAAACATGCAAACAAACACGGCTTTGATAATAATAATTATATTTATATGTTATAGCTATATTTTTATTTAAAGCTTTCGTGACTGCAGTAATTCATATTCTTAGCTCTTTCGGTAAAGTCACGTTGAAGGGAAACAATAAAATAATAAAATATATATAACAATAAAAATTCTCACGACGTTTCGCCCATAACACAAACGGTCGTCATCAGGTGTGAAAAAAACAACGGCAAGAAACATTTGAAAGAAGTGTCGGTCCGCATTTATTTATTTACTTTTTTGCGGTGTATTTATTTATAAAAAAAACGTCAGCGCCACACGCAGCGATTTGGCAGTTTATTTAGAAGGACGAGTCCATCTATGTTCTGAAAAGAGGGGGGGGGGAGACGAAAAATTAATGTATGCTGTCTGAAAGTCACCGTAAGCGTGAACAATCAATTAAGACCTGAAATGGTTTATCAAATCCTTCCAATGATTGCTAAGCCATAATCTATCTTCTCAGTTGAAATTGTCTCTGTGCTTGTATATGTGGATAGCCTCATGAACGAATCTCTCATGGTAGCCAGATGGATTACAAAGAACCTCTGTCTTGGAAAAGTCAATGTCATGTGAGCCTACTGAATTATAACAATGATCTGCCACGGCCGAGGTGTTGGTCCTACCTTGTTTAAGGTCTGCTTTGTGTTCACGAATGCGGTCCGAGACATGGCGTTTGGTTTCTCCAATGTAACTACTACCACAGAGGCAACTTAGTTTGTAGACACCAGGGTACTGTATGTCCAGAATCACATCTTTTACAGATGGAACCAGATCACGGATTTTATGTAATGTGTTGAAACGGACCAGGATCTTGTGTTTATTCAAGATTTTGGAGATCTTTTTTGTGATCCCCGCAATGTAGGGTAAAGTGATGGTTTTGAAAGGCTCCTCAAGAGGGTCCTTCTTCATGGTTTGAGTGATAGCTTAAGGCTAATGGTTACTCCGACTATACAATCCGCAAAGCTATCACTCAAACCATGAAAGAGGACCCTCTTGAGGAGCCTTTGAAAACACCTGATGACGACCGTTTGTGTTATGGTCGAAACGTCGTGAGAATTTTTATTGTTATATATATTTTATTATTTTACTGTTTCCCTTCAACGTGACTTTACCGAAAGAGCTAAGGATATAGCTATATGAATTAATTATTATAAATAATTATTATATTATTTTAATGATGAATTATTATACTTATTAATTATATTATTGTTATTATGAATTATTTAAATTATTATCAAATAATTATTATTATACATTATACTGTATGCAATGTCCTTGAGACAGCCTCCTGCATGGCCTTGTCTCTCCAGTGTTAACGCATTTTTTTTATCAGCATCTTGATACCGGAAAAGAAGGGTCCCAAAGATAGAGGATAAACATACGGTATGCAACACAACATTATACATTAATTTATTGTCAATAAATACTGTGAAATGTACTTTATATAATAGCCCTTGATTCAAGAAAGCCTCAGCGAGTCCCAACACTCGTTCAAGATCCCGCAAGTGAACATGTCTATCTGATTCTTTATTGAATGTTTTTTGTTGTTGAAATGAAAGAAAATAATAAATTGATTATATGTTTTGTACGACGATACCAGAAGACTACATGTGAACTATTGTTTTAGAGTGTTGCACAATCATCATTATCACTTTAAAGGAACTGAAACAAACTGGAGTTTGTATGTAATAACTACATCGCCTGGTATGCAGCAAGTGTGGGTTCGAACCCGACCCTGACGCCTGCTGCTGTATATTTGAAGTTTGCATGTTTCTCCCCCTGTGGTCGTGTGGATTTTTCTCCGGGCTCTCCGGTTTTCCCCCTCCACATTTAGAAACATGCATTGAGAGTATTTGGCTCCTATAAGTTTCTACGTGATAATAAACTACTTTGTTGAGCTATCGTTTGTGTCCAGGTCGTTTATCAAAAAGAGCTAAATTGCTCAGTGAGCTAATAGGGGTTTTCCCCTTTTTTCTGGCAACAAAACTGAAACCTTCTTACAAGGATTTATGTCTGCATTAACCACAATACCTGCAGTCAAAATGCAAACAAAAAACATACTATGATAATATATAATGCATTGTCCTTGAAACTGATTGGTCCACATCAAGAGGCGGCTTTCTTTTGAGCCTCGACCCAATTGGTGCTCGAGGCACCAATTGGGTCGTGGCTCAAAAGAAAGCATATCTTATCATAGTATGTTTTTTGTTTGCATTTTGACTGCAGGTATTGTGGCTAATGCAGACATGAATCCTCGTAAAAAGGTTTCAGTTTTGTTGCTAGAAAAAAGGGGAAAACCCCTATTATTATATTTTGGCACGGGCAAAGGAGGTTTAATGATGATGCTCAGTGAGCCTTACCTAGTAAAATAAAAATAGTTTAAATCTTGACTTAAAGCTTTCGTGACTGCAGGAATTCATACTCTTTGGATCTTTCGGTAAAGTCACGTAGATAGGAAAATTAAAAAAATAATCACGTTTGTTTCGATCGCAACACAAGCAATCGTCCTCAGGTGAAAAAATATAGCGTAAAAAAAATAGAATAAAAATAGTTTCGTTTACCTCAACAAGAGGACGATCCTGTGAAAACCCAAATAGGGGGCCACCATATACACTTTGCTGCCAGTTATTGGCCTCCTTGGTAGCCCTGCAGGTGGTGAGTCTCGCGCGCATGGTGAATCGTTTACGATCCACCAATCCTGCCTACAAGGAGCTGCGTCGAGGTGTGCCTCACCACACCCAGGTTATGGAGATAACTACAAAGGTAAAGGCGCAGCTCCTGCAAGTGCTCGCTCATGCCACTGCTAGCAGAATGGCCTCCCACTGGAGAGAGCTCGAGAGTCCCCTGAAGAGGTCACTTGATTAGTACGTAATTGTTTGTTTGGGAGGGGGGGGGAGGTTAGATCGTGGAGGTACAATGTCAAATAAACTTAAAGACTAAAAATTGGAGCTATAACTCTCCACCGCCCGACACGGCCAACAAATCAAGTTGTCACGTGGACATGAAGCAATTTAGGTTTTTTTCCTTCAGTAAACCGGTTACGTTGAAAAGTAATCAAAATTTGACAGGTTATTTGGCCTACTCTTCAACGCTGGCCAAATGTCTTCGAAGAGGTGGGAGTAACTAAATTTTACCGCACTACACGTAGGTATGTTGAACTTCTTTCGCTCCGTACATTGCCAACCGTGCTAATCAGAGGTACAGGCAACCTGCCACGCAACCTGCCAATCAACTCGCCGTGGCGTGTACCCATTTTACACTGCTGTGTGCACAGAGGGTGGTGGGATTTAATAAACCTGCCCCATTATTTCAGCTGCCTCGCCTGGGAGGTCACATTAAACTGGCGACCTCCGGATCTGCAAGTCCAGTAAGGCGCAAACCATGAATCCGTGGCAAAGACAGGTGGGCGCGGGCAAAAAAGTCCCCGCGGGTCCTCGACCCGCCCTGCGTGTGTGCTGTTGTGCCGCGCGGCCAGGGGGCCGGCGTGCACGACCATCGCGCGCACCTCCACGATCCTGTCGAAGGGCCTGAGGCCATCCCTCTCGGCGGGCCCGTCCAGCCGCACGGACGTCACGAACACGCCCTTTTCCAGCAGCCCGTCCGACACGCTGAAGCCAAAGTCCTCGGTGCTGTCCCTCCGGTGCAGCGTCACCTGTGGTGGGGAGATGTTGACTACCTCAACTGGTATGCAGGAGGTCTCGGGTTCGATCCCGACCCTGACGCCTGCTGTATATTTGGTGGTTGCGTGGATTTTTGTCCGGGTCCTGCAGTTTTTTCCCCTCCACATTTAGAATTAACATGTATTTAGGGTATTTGGCTGCGGTAAATTTCCATACGATAAGCCACTTCGTCGAGCTATCATTTGTGGCCAGGTTCGCTTGTGAAAAAGAGCTATGTAGCTCAGTGGGCCTTACCTTGTAATATAATAGTAATTGTGGTGGTTGTAGCGGTGGGTTCCTTATTAGCGGTGCTCGTGCAAGTCACTTCCCACTCCCATGCGTGGGTTTATGCCGTTTTTCCCACGCGGATCTCCCATGTGTTTTCCGGTTGTACCGCGTTTTGTTCGGCACGAAGTCACCACCGTTTCACTTCCATGCAATTAAAATTGTTTCCTTGAAGAAGCTCCCAGCGCGTGGTGGCGGAACGGCGGACAACATGCCAAGCGGCGATACGCGGTGCAAACCGGAATGCGCATGGGTGAGCGGGTACCCACGGATTCTTCTTACCCCTTCCTCCCCTAAAGCACGTCCCACACTACGTAAAGAGGTGCGGTCGCATTTAGATGCCGTGTCAATCAGATCGCGTCGCCTGTTATATTCTGTTATATGTTAATCACGCATTTTGTATTTTTTTTGCATTTAAGTTTTTGTGATTATGAAGTTCGTATCGGGTTAGCTACTCAAGCCGGATCAAATGCTCCTGACATCCATGGATATTTACTGCATTGTGTGGGTATTATGAGAGGTGGGTGAGGAGGTATTTAGGTTTGCTTTTCTGAATTGATCCTCGAATCGCAACCCTGAATCATCGTGACAATTCACCGAATAATCACGGGATTGCGGAGGAGGGGATTGCTCCACTCCCAGCTGGCAGGATTTTGTAGATTGCCAGGGAGATAGGCATGTTGTCGGTAGCTTCAAAGGTATGTTGTAGGTAGCTTCATAGGAATGTTGTTGGTAGCTTGATAGGTATGTTCTAGGTAGCTTGATAGGTATGTTGTTGGTAGCTTGATAGGTATGTTCTAGGTAGCTTGATAGGTATGTTGTTGGTAGCTTGATAGGCTTTTATCCAGGATTATAGGTAGTTAGGCACAGCAAAATCTCTGTATTCCGGCATCTATAGGGAATGGGTAGTGCCGGTTAATCAAATATGCCGATAATCTGAGAATTATACTTATGGTTGAGCAAATCTTCCAAGTACATTAAACTTACTCTTTGTTTTTTTCGGTAAAGTCACGTATAAATAGGAAATAATAAAATAACATAATAGCGTACGACGTTTCGGTTGCAACACAAGCAGCTAAATTTATGAGAGAGGGGAAACACATAACCTCAGATGTATATACAGATACCCAAGTAGGGGGAACTAACACAGATACAACAGGGGACACAGAGAGAGAAGCATACCAAACAAGCAGGGTTTAGCAAAATTTGGAAACCATATAAAGCAACACAGACAGTCGGTCAAAACACAATTAACGCATAGTCCGGTTGATCACGCTATTTGAAAGATTGCTAAATTGCAAGTTAAGTATGAAACTCAAAATACAGACCGCACACACACACACAGACATCCAAGTAGAGCGAACCAGCACAGAGACAAGCACACAGTGAAGTCGCCTTAAATAGGCAGAAAAGGTAAGGCTGAGAGACAATGGGACAAAATTAGCATGAGGTATGCATGGAGCAAAGTGGGGTGCGGCAGCACCCACTCGGAAACACCAAGGCCCACACACAGGCAGAGACAACACAGAGACACAAATCCAAGCCAAGACACAAAGGCAGATACACAAGCAGAGACAACACAAAGACACAAACCTCATACCTCCCCGTAGAGGTGGTTCAGACTTCATTTGAAGCTTTCGTGACTGCAGGAATTACTCTTTGTTTTTTTCGGTAAAGTCATGTAGAAATAAGAAATAATAAAATAACATAATAGCGTACAACGTTTCGGTTGCAACACAAGCAGCCATCATCAGGTACAGAAGAGCTAAATTTACGAGAGAGGGGAAACACATAACCTCAGATGTATATACAGACACCCAAGTAGGGGGAACTAACACAGATACAACAGGGGACACAGTAATTCCTGCAGTCACGAAAGCTTCAAATGAAGTCTGAACCACCTCTACGGGGAGGTATGAGGTTTGTGTCTTTGTGTTGTCTCTGCTTGTGTATCTGCCTTTGTGTCTTGGCTTGGATTTGTGTCTCTGTGTTGTCTCTGCCTGTGTGTGGGCCTTGGTGTTTCCGAGTGGGTGCTGCCGCACCCCACTTTGCTCCATGCATACCTCATGCTAATTTTGTCCCATTGTCTCTCAGCCTTACCTTTTCTGCCTATTTAAGGCGACTTCACTGTGTGCTTGTCTCTGTGCTGGTTCGCTCTACTTGGATGTCTGTGTGTGTGTGTGCGGTCTGTATTTTGAGTTTCATACTTAACTTGCAATTTAGCAATCTTTCAAATAGCGTGATCAACCGGACTATGCGTTAATTGTGTTTTGACCGACCGTCTGTGTTGCTTTATATGGTTTCCAAATTTTGCTAAACCCTGCTTGTTTGGTATGCTTCTCTCTCTGTGTCCCCTGTTGTATCTGTGTTAGTTCCCCCTACTTGGGTGTCTGTATATACATCTGAGGTTATGTGTTTCCTCTCTCTCGTAAATTTAGCTCTTCTGTACCTGATGATGGCTGCTTGTGTTGCAACCGAAACGTCGTACGCTATTATGTTATTTTATTATTTCTTATTTATATGTGACTTTACCGAAAAAACCAAAGAGAAATTCCTGCAGTCACGAAAACTTCAAATCAATACATTAAACTTTTAGAGAAATAAACTAAGCCTACATTTAAACGATGATTTAAACATAAATAATATACTCTTTTACAGAGGTACTCGCCAGTTCGTTGTAGAGCATTCTGAGTTTATCGTAGAGAAGCAATGGGGCTGTGGACACTGAATTCGTTTGTTGGCACGAGCGACGTATTTGCCCGAGGATGCGGAGCTCGATTCCCACTTAATGTATGTTGAAGACTGCCACTGCGGCACTAATCGGCTGTGTTCTGAAACTCCGTAAACAACAAAAATAACAGCAGGTCCATGAGAAGCACACAGCAAGATGCTGGATGGCTGTTGGATTTGTTCCGGATTCGTGAAGGAACATTTGTATTGCCGTCTATGACAGATGCCGGTTAATAGAGCATTCTGGATGGTAAATTGCCGGATAACAGAGCTTTTGCTGTATATAGTTATATATTTTAAAAAGATATCTATAACGGTAGCACATTGCTCCATCAAGTGCGTCGTTCATCTGTTGGATGTTTTTTTTTGTATCGATACGTGGAAAGATTATTGTTAACAGCTCTAATTTTCTGCGCTGTCACTGCATCACTTTTAGCCAGGAAACAGTTCCTGGAGAAGGACGAGAAACAAGAGGACGACATTGGGTGTTCTGCTCGAAGAGCTCTCGACTTTCGTGTGCCTTTTAAAAGCAGGCTTAACCATACGGCCTTTGGTCGAGATTTTACTCTGCTCGCGAAGACGGGAGCTCGCACAGCTTCACCGAGTTAAATTTTGGGCGAATGGCAATGACAAATGTTGCCACTCGTCTCGGTTACGTCGATGGGTTTTATTCCAATATCGGAGCGCCCCCTAACTGATAACGGAGTGACATTGTCCAAAAAACGCCCCGGTTTAAAATATAATAATCGTCTTATAAATTGACTTTTTTTCATATCTGCCTTCGTATAGAGTGTAGGTCAGCTGTTAAAGCATCTGTTTCAACATTACCCTTGGAGTTTTTTTCGATCCATGTTTGGAGTTGAGTACGACCCAAATACGGACATTTCAGAATTGTGGAAGATTCCTTATTGAAGACAAAATATTCAAGAGCATTGTCGAGAATACAAGTATCAAAATAATTGGCAGGCAATACATCTCCCCCATACATCTGTCCCTCCACTTATATTCTCAACGAGGCTAATGGTGATTTGGTGATTATTGTACGATTTTTGCATCAAACTAGTACCTATGTTTTGTGGGGAGGGTTTTGCCTATTGCATCTGGCAGTTGATCAGGATTGGTTCAGAAATCTAACTCTCCCGATGAGACGCTGTGTATGTCGAAGCCGGTCCAGAGTTTGCTTTGCTGAACCAATGCTGCTGAGATTATGCACTCCCAGAAGACTTTGCGGTTGGCAGGAAGCGTAGAAAATACTTGTTGTGTGTGTGAAGGGACAGATGTATGGGAGAGATGTATTGTGTGCTTCTTTATTGTTACTTATTGAACGAATAGGTTACCTTCATATCCTTCAATGCTGCAGATGGCCCACAAACATCCACCACTTCGTGCTTTCGTGGCAAGAAGTGTCCTTCGCTGTCGGAGCCTGCCGAGTACCTCCTTCCAAAATACCTGTTAAACAGAAATAATTTCCTCACGTGACCTTACATATATAAATACTCATTGCCTGAAAACATCTAAATATATGGAGAACTGCAGAGATTTGGGCAATTGTTGGTAGTGCCGGCACACCACCTGGCTTATGCCCTCCAGCTTTGTGGTTCCTCAGTCACGGTGAGATGGAATTTGCATGAACGACGATGCACAGACATACATACAGTGAGGGAAAAAAGTATTTGATCCCCTGCTGATTTTGTACGTTTGCCCACTGACAAAGAAATGATCAGTCTATAATTTTAATGGTAGGTTTATTTGAACAGTGAGAGACAGAATAGCAATAACAAAATCCAGAAAAACGCATGTCAAAAATGTTATAAATTGATTCGCATTTTAATGACGGAAATAAGTACTTGACCCCTCTGCAAAACATGACTTAGTACTTGGTGGCAAAACCCTTGTTGGCAATCACAGAGGTCAGACGTTTCTTGTAGTTGGCCACCAGGTTTGCACACATCTCAGGAGGGATTTTGTCCCACTCCTCTTTGCAGATCTTCTTCAAGTCATTAAGGTTTCGAGGCTAACGTTTGGCAACTCGAACCTTCAGCTCCCTCCACAGATTTTCTATGGGATTAAGGTCTGGTGACTGGCTAGGCCACTCCAGGACCTTAATGTGCTTTCTCTTGAGCCACTCCTTTGTTGCCTTGGCCGTGTATTTTGGGTCATTGTCATGCTGGAATACCCATCCACGACCCATTTTCAATGCCCTGGCTGAGGGAAGGAGGTTCTCACCCAAGATTTGACGGTACATGGCCCCATCCATCGTCCCTTTGATGCGGTGAAGTTGTCCTGTCCCCTTAGCAGAAAAACACCCCCAAAGCATAATGTATCCACCTCCATGTTTGACGGAGGGGATGGTGTTCTTGGGCTCATAGGCAGCATTCCTCCTCCTCCAAACATGGCGAGTTAAGTTGATGGCAAAGAGCTCCATTTTGGTCTCATCTGACCACAACGCTCTCACCCAGTTGTCCTCTAAATCATTCAGATGTTCATTGGAAAACTTCAGACGGGAATGTACATGTGCTTTCTTGAGCAGGGGGACCTTGCGGGCGCTGCAGGATTTTAGTCCTTCACGGCGTAGTGTGTTACCAATTGTTTTCTTGGTGACTATGGTCCCAGCTGCCTTGAGATTATTGACAAGATCCTCCCGTGTAGTTCTGGGCTGATTCCTCACCGTTCTCATGGTAATTGCAACTCCACGAGGTGAGATCTTGCATGGAGCCCCAGGCCGAGGGAGATTGACAGTTCTTTTGTGTTTCTTCCATTTGCGAATAATCGCACCAACTGTTGTCACCTTCTCACCAAGCTGCTTGGCAATGGTCTTGTAGCCCATTCCAGCCTTGTGTAGGTCTACAATCTTGTCCCTGACATCCTTGGAGAGCGCTTTGGTCTTGGCCATGGTGGAGAGTTTGGAATCTGATTGATTGATTGCTTCTGTGGACAGGTGTCTTTTATGCAGGTAACAAGCTGAGATTAAGAGCACTCCCTTTAAGAGTGTGCTCCTAATCTCAGCTCGTTACCTGTATAAAAGACACCTGGGAGCCAGAAATCTTTCTGATTGAGAGAGGGTCAAATACTTATTTCCCTCATTAAAATGCAAATCAATTTATAACATTTTTGACATGCGTTTTTCTGGATTTTGTTGTTGCTATTGTGTCTCTCACTGTCCAAATAAACCTACCATTAAACTTATAGACTTATCATTTATTTGTCAGTGGGCAAACGTACAAAATCAGCATGGGATCAAATACTTTTTTCCCTCACTGTACATATACACAAATAAACATGATTATTTTGGAGATGGGTTTGTATTTTGAATCACACATCCTGACTGTGACACTGCCATCTAGGCAGGCAAGAAAGTACAGAAGCAATTCATCCGAAGATGAAACAGCTCCTGAAATTACATTAATGGTCCTTTAAGGGTCCACATTACAAAAATTGTTATAGGCTGTGCTTTTTCATGAGCAGTTCACTCTGTACGAATAAACCAAAAACAACCCAACGAAGCCATCGATAACACTCTGGCCTTAAAAGGAAGTGTTATGTAAAAGGGAACATTTTTTGGGGGGAAATGGCCCCTGGTTAAAAGCACATCAGACAAGTCCTCACAGAGCATAACTTCACAAAGTTACTACGCATTCCATTTAGTGGTTCAGTAGTCACTGGTGACCACGCCGAGTGACTCCACATTGCCATGAGTGAGAAGCAGCCTCCGGCCCTCGGTGTGGCGCTTTGCAGTTCCAACGCAGCGTCTTGGCGATCCTGCACTCGGGTGTTCTGAAGTGGAAGCAATAAATGCCTAACGCCAAAATACCCAGCCAGGGGGGAAAAAAAGCCTTGCCGAGTCTCCGAGTCCCTTCTGCAGGTTGCTTGCATCGGGGATGTTTGGCTATTTTTGATTTAAAAAAGAGCGTTTTGGTTTCAAGTCAAAGGACATGGGGGAACCCAGAGAAAGTCCACACACAGAGCAAGAGAGTGACAACACCGTCACGTCCTGACCACTCCACTGCCCTATGCCTGTGACAATTGGCAATCTCTCCTGGTCACTCCACTGAGTGTTGTGACCTGGATGTCTAACCTGCTTAGCTTTTGAGATATGACAAGAGATTGGGTGCATTTAGGATGATTTTGTCGTGGGCATTGCATTAGCCGTGTGAGCCACTCGGTCAGCTCAGTGTTTTTTAACTGCTGCGATGTCACTGCTGCTTTTGGGGGTGATGGTAGTTGAGCGGCAGCATGCTGCGTCTTGAATGTTTTCACATTTCATGCACCTTCTGTTGCCACTTTGCATACTTAAACATCAGGCAAAAGGTCGCGTACACTTTGCCAATTCGAATCACAAAGCAGCTGAACTGTTATGAAAATTTGGTAGCTCTTCTAAACGTTCTATCTACATTCAGTTTCTGTTGAGACCCAATTGAGACAGAAAATATATTGCCCAAGGCAGCTCGAAGGGAACTCTACAATGCAGAGACTGACATCGTCACTGTTTTCTAATTTTTCTGAAGGAAACTGGCAAAATTTATATTCCATTAATGGTACCACCACACTACTGCCCATTTTCATTAACGACGCACAATAACTTTCTCATGTACAGTTTTAAAAATCATTCTAAAATGTCCTTCAGTGTCGGAGGTTGCTTTCAGGCCGTGAATTTCATTCGGAGTTTAAATTTTTTTTGGGGCCAAGAAAAATGCCGGACGGACCCACGTGGAAATCCTCGGGCCCTGGTGGGTGTTGCTATGGTTTCCGGAGGATAAAGGGAATTTAAAAAACGTGTTCTCTAGCTTTGTTACAGCAGTCCATAGCCTGCCAACTCATTTATTACATGGACTTGCCATTAAAAACGGTTCACTGCCCACACTTTAAAATTAAATTAAGTTAATAATTTTACATGACTGTGTGAAATAATGAGGTTAACCGTCGAGGTCAATGCGAAGGGTCTGTCGTGACGCGGGGGGGGGGGGCGATCGTGGGGGTGCGGCCCGGGAGTGAGAACGACATGGAGTGGAGCAGCGAGAGAGCTCTGAACACGTGGGCCCTCTCTCTATGAGTCTCTCCTGCTCTCGTCAATTTCTTATTTATCTTCTAATTACAGTACACATTTCCAGGTCTGCTATCTGTTAAATACATCTCTCTCTTACGTAAATACATGACGATTTGATTTCCGGTCTCTTATAATATATTTATTCTTGGTAAATCTTGCTAATAACTACATTTATTTATTTACATACTTCTGGCCCACGGGCTCTTGTTAGTTTTATCAGACCCACACATTTAATTGTTTTGACCCCCACATCCCCCCCCCCCCCAATGTGTAAATAATGGAAATGTGTGCTGCTGAACAAGCAGGGCGAGTGGGGGGGGAGGATGGGATGAGGAAGGTTATGAGGGGGGAAGTAGAGGGAAGAAGGACTTTACGTTTAAGGGACTCGTCGACTACGGTGTTTACAGTATCATCATTCTCGTCCAAATATTGCACGGAATTTCACGTTTTGTTTCATTACTGTGGTCACAAGCCAGCGTGTCATGACTCGTGTGACCCCTCCTTGACCGCTGGAAGCCAGATGATTCTATTACGTATCAAAGATAAGATCCATACATTGATTGCAGTAGATATGACCAATAAATTTGTTTCTCATTCTCCCGAAACGCATCAGAGATAAGCGACATCTTGAGCTGATTATACTTTATTGCTCGGACTACGTAACATTATTAAACTTGGGACAGTGTTGTCAATAATTTCCGTATTATCCATTTACCGGCTCAGTTATCTGTTTTGCCCGCATCACCATGTGCGGCAATTTAATTGGAACCCCTCGTGTGCAAATCACCGCGGAGTGTGCAGTCTTGTGGCGCCGCCCCTTCCCCCACCCCCGCTGACGCAAACGATTTGATGTCCTTGTGCCGATAATGCCACGCAAATCCAGATGTTTAGGCTGTCTCTCTAATCGCGAGTGTGGTTACCGAAGCCCACTGTGTGTCAGTGTTCGCTCCTTAATTTTCCGCTCTTTCCATTAATACCGTACTGTCAGCGGCAGCGATGGTAACACCTCTGGGTTTTCAGTGGAATGCGATTGCCGGGTTTGCTTATCACTTAGTAGCGTATCTGCCTGTAATTCTTCTGTCATTTGAATTGTTGTAGGTACCCTGGAACACACGGGGTGTACGCATGCAATGGTAGGAGTTTAACGGTGACCAATATACTCCAGAGAAACCGTGATATGCTGTTACGCAACTGTGCATGTGAATAACAAACTATTTAACCCATGGAATCTACTTTACATTCAAGTTAAGTAGAAGCAAAACAAATGCCTGTACTCAATCAGCTTTGCATTTTGCCTCCAAAAAAAACAATGCTCTTTGAAAGAAATCCCAAAAAAAACTTCAGTTGAAGCAATGTTTGGCTGGAAAGAGATAGGTTGTGTGTGCGCTACCGTGCAAGATTGGCTAACATGAAATATTCAATTGCCAGAGGCCCCCCACCGCGATAAGCGATGGTGTGTGTGTGCGACACCGACGGCTTTCTACAGATTGTGCAGAATCCTCCCACCATGTGCACGAACACTCATTTGGGGACTCGGCAAAACGATCAGAGCAGGAACCCCCCCCCTCCCCCCCCCGGGGGGAGGAGGGGCTTCCTGCTCCGTTCAGACTTTCGTAGGTAAAATGTGGACACTGAATTCGTTTTGTTGGCACGAGCGACGAATTTGCCCGAGGATGCGGAGCTCGAATACCACAGCTCACACTGAGTAGCCATAGGGGGCCTCAGATAGCTGTTGGCACACAGCTGTGGCTTGGCCATGATGGCCAAAAGTCTGGGGACAGCTGTCCTCCCTGTCCCCACGGTCCCACATCCATGACAGTTGGTTGCTGACAACAGCCACAAGCAAAGCAATACAGTGAGGGAAAAAAGTATTTGATCCCCTGCTGATTTTGTACGTTTGTCCACTGACAAAGAAATGATCAGTCTATAATTTTAATGGTAGGGTTATTTGAACAGTGAGAGACAGAATGACAACAAAAAAATCCAGAAAAACGCATTTTAAAAATGTTATAAAATGATTTGCATTTTAATGAGGGAAATAATTATTTGACCCCCTCTCAACCAGAAAGATTTCTGGCTCCCAGGTATCTTTTATACAGGCAACGAGCTGAGATTAGGAGCACACTCTTAAAGGGCGTGCTCCTAATCTCAGCTTGTTACCTGTATAAAAGATACCTGTCCACAGAAGCAATCAATCAATCAGATTCCAAACTCTCCACCATGGCCAAGACAAAATAGCTCTCCAAGGATGTCAGGGACAAGATTGTAGACCTACACAAGGCTGGAATGGGCTACAAGACCATTGCCAAGCAGCTTGGTGAGAAGGTGACAACAGTTGGTGCGATTATTCGCAAATGGAAGAAACACAAAAGAACTGTCAATCTCTCTCGGCCTGGGGCTCCATGCAAGATCTCACCTCGTGGAGTTGCAATTACCATGAGAACGGTGAGGAATCAGCCCAGAACTACACGGGAGGATCTTGTCAATGATCTCAAGGCAGCTGGGACCATAGTCACCAAGAAAACAATTGGTAACACACTACGCCGTGAAGGACTGAAATCCTGCCACACCCGAAAGGTCCCCCTGCTCAAGAAAGCACATATACATGCCCGTCTGAAGTTTGCCAATGGACATCTGAATGATTCAGAGGACAACTGGGTGAAAATGGAGCTCTTTGCCATCAACTCAAATCGCCGTGTTTGGAGGAGGAGGAATGCTGCCTATGACCCCAAGAACACCATCCCCACCGTCAAACATGGAGGTGGAAACATTATGCTTTGGGGGTGTTTTTCTGATAAGGAGACAGGACAACTTCACCGCATCAAAGGGACGATGGACGGGGCCATGTACCATCAAATCTTGGGTGAGAATCTCCTTCCCTCAGCCAGGGCATTGAAAATGGGTCGTGGATGGGTATTCCAGCATGACAATGACCCAAAACACACGGCCAAGGCAACAAAGGAGTGGCTCAAGAAGAAGCACATTAAGGTCCTGGAGTGGCCTAGCCAGTCTCCAGACCTTAATCCCATAGAAAATCTGTGGAGGGAGCTGAAGGTTCGAGTTGCCAAACGTCAGCCTCGAAACCTTAATGACTTGGAGAAGATCTGCAAAGAGAAGTGGGACAAAATCCCTCCTGAGATGTGTGCAAACCTGGTGGCCAACTACAAGAAACGTCTGACCTCTGTGATTGCCAACAAGGGTTTTGCCACCAAGTACTAAGTAATGTTTTGCAGAGGGGTCAAATACTTATTTCCCTCATTAAAATGCAAATCAATTCATGACATTTTTGACATGCGTTTTCTGGATTTTTGTTGTTGTTATTCTGTCTCTCACTGTTCAAATAAACTTACCATTAAAATTATAGACTGATCATTTCTTTGTCAGTGGGCAAACGTACAAAATCAGCAGGGGATCAAATACGTTTTCCCTCACTGTACATATATATTTGACTGCAAAATGTGTTTGTCTACTTAACCAGCTAACAGCCCACTGTAATAATCTATTTTTCACGAGAGAAGACCATTGCAGCAAGTTCAAATAATGACTGCATATTTTTACATAATGCTGATAAAGTATGTGTTACATAAATGTAACTTTGTCCGTTCTGTGATTGGCGTATATTTTTGGCTTTGTGTTTTATGGACAGCACATCTACACGTGGGTAGCATTTAACAATCAAGCAAAAAAAAAGGCGACTGCTGCCTCTGAATGACGTCAAAAGACACTTCAAAATTAAGCGTGTCTCGGCTCAGGTGAGGATGTGACAATGCTCATTCCCACATGTGTCCAGTTGCTTATGGTGAAAATTCTACATCCCAATGAAAGGGGGGCAGTCTATCCACTGGACAACCACTTGTTGGCTTCTGTGATATTGGAATTCATGTGAATGGCCTGTCATCCTCTAACTGTGAGTCAACCATTCTGCAACAAGAGCCACCTCGCCAAACAGCCACCATTAATTTTATACGTCGGCATTCACAACCAATATTACAATTCATATAATACGTTTCTTTTAGTTTAAATCATGTAGCTATAATGCTAATTTAAATGTAATTGTCATTATACCTACACAATCTGACCAACAAGAAATTAATTATGAATCGGTCACCATTAACACCTCACGAGATACCCTCACGGTAGACTGTGTAAATTATCAGTCAGCTGAGTGGCCGCTGCTATTACGATTCACACCCAGTGAAATCTGCAACCAAAAAATATATATATAATGAAAAGGCGGCGAGTGACGCGAACGGAGCGTAAAAAAAAAAAGAATCCGCCACCGCTCGAAAACGTGCAGGGTTGAGATTGTGGCTCGGATGTTCGATGAGAGCGGTCGATTGGGAACTGTGCGACGCTCACATGAGGCCCGGGGAGGCGGCGGCGGCGGCGGCGGCGGCGGGGCTCTTGCCGCTGAGGGAGGAGCCGTCCCTGTGCGTCGCGTCATTGCCGCTGCACTCTGCCGTGTGCACGCTCGGGCTTGAGCTTGGCTCGTCCTTCACACCTAAGCATGGCAGAGGTGGCGGGCGGGGCGGGGGGGGGGTCGGGGTGCACACGCACATCATCACCATCGTCGTCGTAATCGTTTTATCGCCTGACGTTTTTGGTTGAAACATTGTTGCTCGGCACAGGCCACCCAAGGCCCGAACCGTTAAATGGGCCAGCATCAAAACAGCACTATCAAAGTAGTGATAGGAAAGAGTACGTGCAACACGTTATTTGAATTGAGCCAAGGTTGTTTTTTATTATTACAAAAGCTTTTGAAGGAATAGGGACGATGGGAAGGAAAGTTGGGGTAGTGCCAGGGAAGCAGCAGAAAGAGGAGTCTCGTGGCCTGCTATGTGGTGGTACCCAGTGTGGGGGAGGTGAAACGGTCAGTTACATAATCACACTGCACCGCTAGAGATCTGTAATCAGACTGCACCGCTAGAGATCTGTAATCAGACTGCTCCGCTAGAGATCCGTAATCACGCTGCTCCGCTAGAGATCTGTAATCACACTGCACCGCTAGAGATCTGTAATCAGACTGCTCCACTAGAGATTCGTAATCACGCTGCTCCGCTAGAGATCCGTAATCACACTGCTCCACTAAAGATCTCTAATCACACTGCTCCACTAGAGATCCGTAATCACACTGCTCCGCTAGAGATCTGTAATCACGCTGCTCTGCTAGAGATCCGTAATCACACTGCTCCACTAGAGATCTGTAATCACGCTGCTCCACTAGAGATCTGTAATCACACTGCTCCGCTAGAGATCTGAAATCATGCTGCTCCGCTAGAGATCCGTAATCACACTGCTCCACTAGAGATCTGTAATCACACTGCTCCGCTAGAGATCTGTAATCACACTGCTCCGCTAGAGATTTGTAATCACACTGCTCCGCTAGAGATTTGTAATCACACTGCTCCGCTAGAGATATGTAATCAGACTGCTGCACTAGAGATCTGTAATCACACTGCTCCGCTAGAGATCTGTAATCACGCTGCTCCGCTAGAGATCCGTAATCACACTGCTCCACTAGAGATCTGCAATCACGCTGCCCCGCTAGAGATCCGTAATCACACTGCTCCGCTAGAGATCTGTAATCACACTGCTCCGCTAGAGATCTGTAATCACACTGCTCCGCTAGAGATCTGTAATCACACTTCTCCGCTAGAGATCTGTAATCACACTGCTCCGCTAGAGATTTGTAATCACACTGCTCCGCTAGAGATTTGTAATCACACTGCTCCGCTAGAGATATGTAATCAGACTGCTGCACTAGAGATCTGTAATCACACTGCTCCGCTAGAGATCTGTAATCACGCTGCTCCGCTAGAGATCCGTAATCACACTGCTCCACTAGAGATCTGCAATCACGCTGCCCCGCTAGAGATCCGTAATCACACTGCTCCGCTAGAGATCTGTAATCACACTGCTCCGCTAGAGATCTGTAATCAGACTGCTCCGCTAGAGATCTGTAATCACACTGCTCCGCTAGAGATCTGTAATCACACTGCTCCGCTAGAGATCTGTAATCAGACTGCTCCACTAGAGATCCGTAATCATACTGCTCCGCTAGAGATCCGTAATCACACTGCTCCACTAGAGATCTCTAATCACACTGCTCCACTAGAGATCCGTAATCACACTGCTCCGCTAGAGAGCTGTAATCACGCTGCTCCGCTAGAGATCCGTAATCACACTGCTCCACTAGATATCTGTAATCACACTGCTCCGATAGAGATCTGTAATCACACTGCTCCGCTAGAGATTTGAAATCACACTGCTCCGCTAGAGATCTGTAATCAAACTGCTCCACTAGAGATCTGTAATCGCACTGCTCCGCTAGAGATCTGTAATCACGCTGCTCCGCTAGAGATCTGTAATCACGCTGCTCCGCTAGAGATCCGTAATCACACTGCTCCACTAGAGATCTGTAATCACACTGCTCCACTAAAGATCCGTAATCACACTGCTCCGCTAGAGATCAGCAATCACGCTGCCCCGCTAGAGATCCGTAATCACACTGCTCCACTAGAGATCTGTAATCACACTGCTCCACTAGAGATCTGTAATCACACTGCTCCGCTAGAGATCTGTAATCACACTGCTCCGCTAGAGATCCGTAATCACATTGCTCCACTAGAGATCTGTAATCACACTGCTCCACTAGAGATCTGTAATCACACTGCTCCACTAGAGATCTGTAATCACGCTGCTCCGCTAGAGATCCGTAATCACACTGCTCCACTAGAGATCTGTAATCACACTGCTCCGCTAGAGATCTGTAATCACACTGCTCTGCTAGAGATTTGTAATCACACTGCTCCGCTAGAGATATGTAATCACACTGCTCCGCTAGAGATCTGTAATCAGATTGCTCCACTAGAGATCTGTAATTACACTGCTCCGCTAGAGATCTGTAATCACGCTGCTCCGCTAGAGATCCATAATCACACTGCTCCACTAGAAATCTGTAATCACACTGCTCCACTAGAGATCCGTAATCACACTGCTCCGCTAGAGATCTGCAATCACGCTGCCGCGCAAGAGATCCGTAATCACACTGCTCCGCTAGAGATCTGTAATCAGGCTGCTCCACTAGAGATCTGTAATCACACTGCTCCGCTAGTGATCTGTAATCACGCTGCTCCGCTAGAGATCCGTAATCACACTGCTCCACTAGAGATCTGTAATCACACTGCTCCACTAGAGATCCGTAATCACACTGCTCGCTAGAGATCTGCAATTACGCTGCCCCGCTAGAGATCCGTAATCACGCCGCTCCGCTAGAGATCTGTAATCACACTGCTCCGCTAGAGATATGCAATCACACTGCTCCGCTAGAGATCTGTAATCACACTGTTCCGCTAGAGATCTGTAATCAGACTGCTCCGCTAGAGATCTGTAATCACACTGCTCCGCTAGAGATCTGTAATCACACTGCTCCGCTAGAGATCTGTAATCAGACTGCTCCGCTAGAGATCTGTAATCACACTGCTCCGCTAGAGATCTGTAATCACACTTCTCCGCTAGAGATCTGTAATCACACTTCTCCGCTAGAGATCTGTAATCACACTGCTCCGCTAAAGATCTGTAATCACACTGCTCCACTAGAGATCTGTAAGCAAACTGCTCCGCTAGAGATCTGTAATCACACTGTTCCACTAGAGATCTGTAATCACACTGCTCCGCTAGAGATCTGTAATCACACTGCTCCGCTAGAGATCTGTAATCACACTGCTCCGCTAGAGATCTGTAATCACACTGCTCCGCTAGAGATCTGTAATCACGCTGCTCCGCTAGAGATGTGTAATCACACTGCTCCACTAGAGATCTGTAATCACACTGCTCCACTAGAGATCTGTAATCACACTGCTCCGCTAGAGATCTGTAATCACACTGCTCCACTAGAGATGTCATCACACTGCTCCGCTAGAGATCTGTAATCACACTGCTCCACTAGAGATCCGTAACCACACTGCTCCACTAGAGATCTGTAATCACGCTGCTCCACTAGAGATCCGTAATCACACTGCTCCACTAGAGATTTGTAATCACACTGCTCCGCTAGAGATCTGTAATCACACTGCTCCGCTAGAGATCTGTCATCACACTGCTCCACTAGAGATCTGTAATCACACTGCTCCGCTAGAGATCTGTAATCACACTGCTCCACTAGAGATCTGTAATCACACTGCTCCACTAAAGATCTGTAATCACACTGCTCCACTAGAGATCTGAAATCACACTGCTCCACTAGAGATCCGTAATCACACTACTCTGCTAGAGATCTGCAATCACGCTGCCCCGCTAGAGATCCGTAATCACGCTGCTCCGCTAGAGATCTGTAATCACACTGCTCCGCTAGAGATCTGTAATCAGATTGCTCCGCTAGAGATCTGTAATCACACTGCTCCGCTAGAGATCTGTAATCACACTGCTCCGCTAGAGATCTGTAATCACACTGCTCCGCTAAAGATCTGTAATCACACTGCTCCACCAGAGATCTGTAAGCACACTGCTCTGCTAGAGATCTGTAATCACACTGCTCCACTAGAGATCTGTAATCACACTGCTCCGCTAGAGATCTGTAATCACACTGCTCCGCTAGAGATCTGTAATCACACTGCTCCGCTAGAGATGTGTAATCACACTGCTCCGCTAGAGATCTGTAATCACACTGCTCCACTAGAGATCTGTAATCACACTGCTCCACTAAAGATCTGTAATCACACTGCTCCACTAGAGATCTGTAATCACACTGCTCCGCTAGAGATCTGTAATCACACTGCTCCGCTAGAGATCTGTAATCACACTGCTCCGCTAGAGATCTGTAATCACACTGCTCCGCTAGAGATCTGTAATCACACTGCTCCACTAGAGATCTTTAATCACACTGCTCCACTAAAGATCTGTAATCACACTGCTCCACTAGAGATCTGTAATCACACTGCTCCACTAGAGATCCGTAATCACACTACTCCGCTAGAGATCTGCAATCACGCTGCCCCGCTAGAGATCCGTAATCACGCTGCTCCGCTAGAGATCTGTAATCACACTGCTCCGCTAGAGATATGTAATCACGCTGCTCCGCTAGAGATCCATAATCACACTGCTCCGCTTGAGATCTGTAATCAGACTGCTCCACTAGAGATCTGTAATCACACTGCTCCACTAGAGATCTGTAATCACACTGCTCCGCTAGAGATCTGTAATCACACTGCTCCATTAGAGATCTGTAATCACACTGCTCCGCTAGAGATCTGTAATCACACTGCTCCGCTAGAGATCTGTCATCACACTGCTCCACTAGAGATCCGTAACCACACTGCTCCACTAGAGATCTGTAATCACGCTGCTCCACTAGAGATTCGTAATCACACTGCTCCACTAGAGATTTGTAATCACACTGCTCCGCTAGAGATATGTAATCACGCTGCTCCGCTAGAGATCCGTAATCACACTACTCCGCTAGAGATCTGCAATCACGCTGCCCCGCTAGAGATCCGTAATCACGCTGCTCCGCTAGAGATCTGTAATCACACTGCTCCGCTAGAGATATGTAATCACGCTGCTCCGCTAGAGATCCGTAATCACACTGCTCCGCTTGAGATCTGTAATCAGACTGCTCCACTAGAGATCTGTAATCACACTGCTCCACTAGAGATCTGTAATCACACTGCTCCGCTAGAGATCTGTAATCACACTGCTCCATTAGAGATCTGTAATCACACTGCTCCGCTAGAGATCTGTAATCACACTGCTCCGCTAGAGATCTGTCATCACACTGCTCCACTAGAGATCCGTAACCACACTGCTCCACTAGAGATCTGTAATCACGCTGCTCCACTAGAGATTCGTAATCACACTGCTCCACTAGAGATTTGTAATCACACTGCTCCGCTAGAGATCTGTAATCACACTGCTCCGCTAGAGATCTTTCATCACACTGCTCCACTAGAGATCCGTAATTTCACTGCTCCACTAGAGATCCAAAATAATACTTTGCTTTGTGGCGTGACATGGATAGCACGAAATTGTGGGGTGGAGAAATAAAAAAATAAATGAGTCAACCGAATAGAAGTTCTCGTGTCAAAGTATATCTCCTGTAATGTGTAAGATATAACAACGCCACTTGAAGGATTTTTCGGGTAAAGCCTGTGAAGTACATCTTCCACAGGGTACAATCTGGACACATAGGCCACGCTGTTCCGTGAGATTCCCAGATGTATTATTTATCTCATGACGTGAAGCCGATAGAGCAATGGGAATAAACTGAAAAATGCGATTTTTAAAAATATAGATATACCAACACCCTTCCCATGTAATTTAAGATTATCCCACATGCAATGAAATGGATTATCAGACTGTGTGAAAGTTAATTAAATGAGGCTTCAGAGTATTTAAAGTAGACCGCAGAGCAAGATCAAACAATAGTACAACAAAGGAATCCAAGTGAGAAGGCGTTTATGAGTAAGAGATTGAATACTGTGGGTATATTCAGAGAACAAACTCGGTTGATAGACATATTTTACATGTTGGAAGACAATAAAAAAACATTATTAAGAAAAAAACTCCACTTGCATATCTCGCGGCTACTACCAAAGCGAGCATGTGCTATGGAACCCCCGTAATTTGTTTCACATCAAGGTACTTTGGCTTGGAATTTGATCGCTTCGGCCAAAGAGTGCAGGCATTTCGCATTATATTTTAGGGGGGGTTGGGGTTGGACTTGGCCAATCATCCTCAGCAAGGTCAATAAAATGTTCACTACCCGGTGATGCTGCACCATTCGGTGGGCAGTCAATTGGGATAATCCTCAGGGGTCACGGCGACAATAGCAAACTTGACAAGTTGGGGGGAGAGGCTAAACGGGTTTCACAACAAAGTCAAAGTTATTTCCTACAAAAATGAGCGCTGAGGAATTGGTGCTCATCTCCTGCGGAGCCAGTAGGCGGAAACCCTGTATTCCTATGGTGGGGGACGTGGGTGGGTCTTTCCCATAGGAACGACCGTCGTTGATCTCCTCGCAAATTGGTACTTATTTTACTCATGCCCAAGGGATGATGGGCTGAGTCAACCTCCCAACCAGGAATGTGAATATCCAGTCGTCTCCTTGCAAGCCACTCACTCGACCGCTGAGCCACGCGGCCGGTTCTACTCATTTTGTCACGTGTGGGGGGAGGGGGTGGGGCAAGTGAGGGGGGGTTAAATTACATCACAAAAGTAGGGGGGAAACCCTGGAGAGTGACCTTTAAAAGGGGGGCACATCGGAATCTTTATACAGACTGGAGAAATCCGATGAGCTATGAAGCTCTTTTTTCAAAGATGTCCAGTCGGGGCCTTTCAGCGCGTCACAACGATACAAAAACCCACGACAGGAGTGGAAAACAGTGAAAAAGGTTAAGCAGTCAACAACTTGCACACGATAAGTCGGGCATGATGGCGCATGCCTGTGTTCGAGTGGTTTGGATGTGGGTTTGGTGGATCACGCAGATTTCTCTTGTACACATAGGGGTGCAAAGTAGATAAAAGGTTGAGCAAGTCACTGCAAATAAATAAATAGCATACATAAGTACAAATTGCATATGCTTTAGATTTTTTCAACACTAAATGAAAGCTTGGACAAGACAAAAAAACAACTCCAAAAATAAAATAATAGGGTTTTTCCCTTTTGTTTTTGTTTCTGGCAACAAAACTGAAACCTTTTTACAAGGTATCATGTTGCTGCATTAACCACAATACTTGTGGTCAAAATGCAAACAACAAACACGCTCTGATAATATATGCATTGTCCTTGAAACTGATTGGTCCACGCCAGAAACGGCTTTCTGTTGAGCCTCGTCTTAATTGGTGCTATACCACTTCCAAAAATTGGTGCTAGGCTACTACAAAAACAGTCCCAGACCACACCAAGACAACTCAGGACGGGGTACAACGACAGGGGTAATTGTTACACTCGGTAGACAGAATGAGCCACGATGTAATCTGCTATCGCGCATTCTTCCCTGCCGTTGGCCGTCGCCGCCCGTGAGGAAGGCTGCGACGCCCATCGCTTATTTCGAGCTCGCGACGGTGCGCGGCCGGGATGCCTCCGCGTGTTGTTCACTCCGACCCAAAGGCACAGCCGAGAGGCAGCTGTGCAGCACGATCGCGAACAAAAAAACCCTACGCAGCGGACAACATTTTTTGACAAAGTGCTATTGTTTAAAAAATCTAAGTTTGCTCCTTAAATGTTAGTTTGAAAGTGGCTGCATGAGATAAGTAGATTTTGTTTGTTGCTGCAGAGCCCAATCAGCTGTTGGGATTTATTGCATTGGCGTTTTTGCGAATGGTACATTAATTGATCATGTAACTGAATTTGGGTTTATGTAACCACGAGCCAAACATTAATGGGACAAGTCATGAGGGTCTGGGACGACAACACTCAGAGGACTCTTAACACTTGATGAGAATGGTCCAAATGAGGTAAGGAGAATAATAATAAAACAAAACACAATTCTACATTCTAACACCTGCTGTGTCAAGATGCGGCTATTCATTCGGAATTGAAAGACGACTTATTGCTGAGGCTGAAAATCAGTCTGTCCAACTGTCCATCAGTTCCAGGACACTTAATGTCTTTTCACGAAAAATTACAATATTTGGAAAGCAAGTGCTAAGAAACTTGGCCCATGGCTTACCAACACCAAGGCAATGTTCCTGGACGAGATTAGTAACAAAATATTTGCAATGTAAAAAAGAACAACCCAACAATGTTACGCTGAGTCTGCTAGCACAATTAGCACACGCGCGGTAGAATGATGGTTTAAGTACATGCGTATCTAACGCGTGTGCCCACTTGCACGTGAGTTCGTGAGACTGCGACTGTCCCACTCTCCGAGCTGTACAGCCGAAGCCCTGAGCAAAACGGAGTCTGCCGTAATAGAATTGGGTCAGCTACACACAGCAAATTAAAGTAAAACAATTCCCTCCGCTGCTACGGTAAATCAGTGTCAATTTAAATTAGGATATTTCACTTCAGGGGTTCACGCAACTGGCCAGCGGTGTGTCCTCTCATTTGCAACGAACTGGCTTGCGAACAGATTTGTGCGCCCTGGCTAAGTGTAAAGGCGCAGGTTGTAGCCCTGAAATTTCTCTCTCACTCCATTGCCGGTGGAAGAGCCACCGCTGGAGGGACCACCAGAGAGAGCGCACATCTAGAGGGTATTTGGTCTACTCTTTCAGACGCTGGCCAGACGTCTCGGAAGAAGTGGGAGTACCCACACTTTACCTCTTCATCGACTATATGGTGGGAATCATTTGTACTGCCAGTTGGGCACTGGTGAGAAGACTCGTATCTAACACAGCGGGTCTGTATTCTGATTCTAATAACCACCGGGAATCGTTCACCAGGCAGGGGGGCTGCAGGGGGCCCTGCCGCACAGACGCGCAAAGGCCCTCACTGTGGCTGTGGCGGCTGGAGTTGGTGGCCGAGCCATCCCAGGAGCCCAGGGCACTGTCCAAGCCCGGCGTGAGGGCACCGGGGTAGAGGCGGGAAGGGCGCGCGCTCCCCAATCCGCCGTCGTCCTCGTCCGAGTCGCTCACGTCCCCCAGCGTGCCCGGGGCCTCCTTGCCACCATCTGTCACCGTGCACGGTGCCCAGCAAGCACACACACACACACGCGCGCCCGCACCGCTGCCACCCGCCGCTGGGTTTCTTGTGGTTGAGCAAGACACACACAGGCCTGGCACATCCACATGGGCAGCCATGCCGGGCTAGGGCGGCATCTCATTTCCCTAGGTGGTAAAGGCGCAGGCCCTGCAATGTATTGCTGATGCCACTGCTGGCTGAGCGGCCTTCTCCAGGGAAAGCTATATAGAGCCCCTCTACTCTTCCATGTCAACCAGATAAATGAAACAAATTGTATTTTTATCAGGTAAGGCTCACTGAGCTTTATAGCCCTTTTTTTCAGAAGCAACCTGGCCACAAATGATAGCTTAACGAAGTGGCTTTTGACGTGGAAATTTATAGCAGCCAAATACTCTAAATGCATGTTAGTTCTAAATGTGGAGGGAAAAACCGGAGGACCCAGAGAAAAATCAACACGACCACAGGGAGGACATGCAAACTTCAAATATACAGGCGTCAGGGTCAGCATCGAACAGACGACCTCCTGTATACCAGGCGAGGTAGTTAACATCCCACCACTGCGGCACCCCTATGTCTCATATGATGTGAAAATGTATCCCACTACATGCAAATTGATGATTGACGAAATGGTGTACCCATTAATATTGATTGGTGGATAGAGGTGGGGGGATTTAATACATTTTCCAAATTTTTCAACTGCCACACCGGGAGATTTAATCAATCCGGTGACCTGTGCTATCCATTATACCGTGGCAGCATTCCCTCTCGCTTTGTGGAAATTCTCCATTCCTATGGCAGGGGCCTGGCTCATCGCAGTACAATCACTCGATAATGTTGCACAATGTGAAACACGATTATTGACCCCAGAGAAATAATGGGCTAAGCTGACCCTTGACGAGAATTTGAACTTGTGACCTTCCAATTGTAAGCCAAGTACTCAAACGACAGCACCACCTGGGGAGATCAAATTAATAATGACTTCCGGCTGTTATTTTAAACGGACTACTGGCCTAATGTGAGTCACGAGACCTGCAACCAACCACGGTATGATAAAAACCTAGACTTGGATCATGGCACAGCACTAAAGATCACATTGCTGACTTGCATGCTGAGTTGGCGCTCTGTGGCTGTCAGGAATATATTTATTATTTTATTTGACCAGGTAAGGCCCACTGAGCTTTATAACCCTTTTTCTCAGAAGCAACCTGGCCACAAGTGGCTTATCATCATATGGAAATTTCTAGCAGCCAAATACTCTGAACGCATGTTGATTCTAAATGTGGAGGGGAAAACCGGAGGGCCCAGGAGCATAATCCACACGACCACGGGGAGAGAGACACAGAAACTCCAAATATACAGACGTAAAGGGTTGGGATTGAACCCACGACCTCCTGTATACCGGGCGAGGTAGTTAACACCGTGAAGCTGCATCCTACCACACTCCTCCCAACGACCGCCAACCTCCCAGTCCTTTCTCAATCACCGCAAAACCCTCCAGGAGCATAACACCATCGTGACGTGTATTTCAGAGAAGTAATTTTGAGCACAGGTAGTGTCCATTAATAAAAAAAAATAACACTTTGAGCAGAAGTTAATGGAATGTGTTATCAAGACGTGCCACGTAGCCCCCGGCTCACACTTTCATTCAGAAGCCAGGCGGGGCCGTGCAGCATTTGCGATATGTCATCAAATATATGTGATATCTGGCCAAGGAATGCTGTGACGTTTCGAGATTCAATTTCCGCCCGCATATGAAGATTTATTTTTCTCCTCTGTACGCCGAACTGAAACTTGAATAAAAATTCGTGTATATTTGGGGGAGGGGGCGTGGGGGGGGGAGGTAATATATCAAGGAGAGAGGCGCTTAGTACGAAAGGGGCTGCGTTGTAGTGTGTGGGGTTGGTGGGAAGACATACAGAATGAGGATGAGTGTTTTTGACAGAATGGCGGCAGGGTACACATCGCCATCTGCAAGCAGGCAAAGGCACAGCACGTACCCAGGCACGTCGTGCCCAGAGGAATAACGACACACTCAGTGTGTATGAGCAAAAGGTTACAATTACAAAGACACTGAATAAGGCACCAACGTGTTAAATACTGCCTCCAACTATAAGCTTCTGCCGGCATGCTGTTGTCGTTCTCTGCTCCGAGATATTATCTCACTTGAACATATACATAGTATGCACACAGTATCACAGATACGGTACTCAGCTATGTTTATTTTTCTATTAAATAAAAAAAACATTTTCGAACGAGCTTTTGGATCGAGCGTATCTCCCTTGGTGCCTCAACATAGCCGCGCAAGTTCCACATGATTATGGCAGAAGATCAGCCTCTGCGTAGGATAACAGCCATAAACTGACCACATGGTAGTAATTATGTTTTATTAACCTCCAGAGGGATTATAGCCAGACAACCTCCAACCGGAGTTTCTACTCCTGACCTTCTGCATGTAGGTCAACTGCTACACGGCATGACACGGTCATGCTTGGACCAGCTCGAATATGAACGAAGGTTCACTTGTACGTAATTTCACTGACATGCAATCAGAAGTCTATCAGCCCACATAGCTCCCCAGGGATTAATCTGGGTTCCTGTGAAATGTGGATATTTTTACTCAGGATAATCCTTTTTTTCTTCCGCAAGCAAATCCCTCAATGAGGAACTGGGCCCGGGCTTGTCAAGCAGGACTCTTGAGACTCGGTGAAGCCCTCCGAGATAAGCGACTGATTACCGTGAGAGCGAGGAGGGGATAGAGAGACGGTTTGAGACGGCGCGCACAACTTGCACAGCAACGATCTCCCGAAGGTTCGTCTTGAGAAAGGGTGGGGAGTGGGGGGGGTGTGGGGTCACAAACCAATCGGCTCTGCACTCGGGGGTTGTCACTCAGCCTCGGCCCACGCGTCGCCTCTCAAACGAGATAAGAAACTTAAATAAATGTGACTTACGGCTCTGTGGCACATTTGCCAATAAATCTGCAGATTGCATGTGTTCAATTATTAGATATCCACCCAACCACATGGCAATAAATAAATAAATCAATTTATATCAAGTGTATTCATACGAAGTAAAAATCCAATGAAGGGACAAAATGTCTCTTAAACCAATTCACGAGGGTTTATTTTTGCAAAATGCATCATCTGCTGATAAAACGCATGCTTGAGACCACATGACATGATTTTGTAAACATAGCCCACTGTGTGCTGCATCATAATAAAATTTGAGATCGCTGATAAAATAATAAATAAAAAAAATACAAATAAGCCATGCATTGACGGCTTTGAGCATCGTTTCTGTCAGAAACTTCAACCTGGCCCTCTCATCCAGAACGGCCAGATCCGCGCACGCGCCTCTTTGATACGTCCCCGCACAGCGACGGCTTCGGATTAAAGACGGACGCGTCGCGGGGGCCGACCTGCGGTGCGCTTCTTGATTTTGAGCGCCACAATCTCGCCGGCTCGCTGCAGCAGCGCGATGGCCTCGCTCAGCGGCTTGCCCTTCAGAGACATCCCGTCAATGGCCAGGATCTGATCGCCGACGTGAATCGCTCCGGTTCTGCCATGCTCAGAGCACATCGTGTCACACAACGGTGGGGGGGGGGGGCGGTTATAAGGGGGAGGGAAGGGCAGTTGGCAAATAAGTATCTCTCCAAAACCAAAAAAGAAATAACTCCACTGCAGCACTCGTGCTGCCGATGGACATGCACACACACCCACTACTAACGACATCAGAATCTTTGCTTAGACTGGAGAAGGAATCCGATGAGCTATTCAGCTCTTTTTTTTAAATAGATGTTCAGTAGGAGCGAGTCAGCAAGTCGCAACAACAATCCAAAAAAACAATTATAAGTTGGGCACGGTGGTGCATGCCGGTATTCTAGAGGTTTGGGGTTGGTGGATCGCTCAGATTTAATCTTTCATACAGTACGTCGCCAACCGTGATAACGCAAACTCCAAATATACAGGCATCAGGATCAAACCCACGACCTCCAGCAAGGTAGTTCATATTTCGCTACCATGGCACCTAACAGTTTTTTTTAACACAAAAGCAGCTAAAGGGTGACATGGTTCATAATTCAGAAGTGAGTAAGCACTGCTAAGACACCAGGTTTAAGTCGCTCAGGCTCAAACGAGCTTCTCTTATTTTCCAAAGATTGTCTCTTCAATTCTACCAAGATGGTTATAATGTCTACAATTTAAATATAAAGGGTGACATATATCGGGAGCAATTCTACACAGACGATTAATCAGCAGCAGCACTATTATATTCTATAGTGCCGCTGGATGAGAGGCCAGTTGAAGTGAATCCGTGAGTAATTCTGGATGACACCTTCCACATTTGGTCCCCGGCGTAATGGGAAGCACTTCCTGACTTGAATTTCAAGGCCGTTCCTTCACTTCAGTGGCGACACTCTGAGGGCACGAGTGGGAGATGGCCGGTTGGTTCAGGGGTCAAGAGGTCGAAGATCAGAGGTAAGAGCGCCGAGCTGGCACTGCCAAGGTCCTGGGTTTGAATCCAGGCAACCGCCTGTGATTAAATTAGGCTCTAACATGTATCGAACTGATCCTAACAGCCTGGTCACCAATGACCGCACGAAATAAACATGATTTTTTGTAATTTGGTTCTGCACTAAATTTTGGATAAATTCGAGCCTGAGAATTTAAACAATGGTTTGACTGTCACGTGACTAACATTACTGATATTGTGAGCAGGTGTAAAAGTTGTGCTCACTCTACTGTGCAACAGAGGTCACTTGAAGAAGGGATCTCAGAGATAGCTCTGTGGTTATCCGGTTCCATAGGCCATTCTAAAAGACGCAAGATTGCACTGCTCCTTCAGAGATACGTGTGTCAAAGCGCGACGCCGGCAGCTTTAAAACTAGAAAAACACCATAAATAAAATTTAGATTTAAAGCTTTCGTGACTGCAGTGATTCATATTCTTGGTTCTTTCGGTAAAGTTTTTAATATATTTTATTATTTTATTGTTTCCCTTCAACGTGACTTTACCGAAAGAACCAAGAATATGAACCATAAATCAAGTTCAAACTGACAATCGTAACTAGCGGCGGCTGATGTGTAGTATGTATGTCGAACTTCTGACGTAGCCAACTGTGCGAATCGGAGGCATGAGGGAAGGACAACAAACTAATCACAAAAAGCAGCTGCAAAGAAATTAGTTTTCAATCTAACCACGTGAGAACATCAGGCACATCTTTAAAGGAACTAACTGCAGTATTATGGTCGAACGTTGTGGCCGCGGCGCGGGGCACTACAGGTACCGCTCTGCGAGGCCGTCGGGCGTGAGGCTGGCGATGAGGATGGGGTCCGTGGGTTCGTCTGTGCCCGAGATGGTGATGCCCAGGGGACCACCATGTCGCCTCAGCTCCACCGAGTAGCTGATGGCTCCCGATGCCTCTTGCTCATCTGCAGAGACGGCAGTGTTAGCAACGGGGACGGCGTCACAGAGAGCCAAACAATGCCGCGATGCGTCTCTGGACGCACAAAGCAAAAGGGGGGGCCGCATCTTGTTACAACGCTCAAACGAGCGCTGTTGTGTGTTCGTTCCCCAAGGCACTCCTCAACCCGTGCTGGAAATGCCACATTCCTTAGGCAGGGATTAGTTTACTCGCTTCATGCAAAGAGGAAGAGTTCTGTCGTCCCCAGAGGGATGTTGGACCGCATCGACTCCAGACTGAGTTTTGCCGCAATGTAATCTTTAACGATACAGTTCAATGTCACATTTCCCAATGTGCCGATTATCTCAATATCAGTTTCCCATAACTTTGTAATTGCATTTAAATCTATATTATGTTATGCTTTGACATACCTCGAAGAGGAAAAGAGATGTCTTAATAGTCATTGAAATGCAAATCACTCAGAGCAAGCCCATCTTATGTCTTCTTATCGTTATAACTTCATAATTTAAAACGCTTATTTCGGCACGAACTGTCGGAAAATGATGACGTCATATAGTAGGCGTGCCGTCAATTATTCCATGAACGATTCTACAAAACAAATCTAGATTGAACCATTCTAAAATTTTAACTTTCATTAATAGCGTCAACTTTACTTTTAGTTCTTTTATAAATAGTTAATCCCAAAATTAAATAAAGTATATAAAAAACTTAAATAAGCAACCCAAATCACGATTTGACAATATTGTGCTAAATGGATGGTATTATTATCATGTTTCATATCGTCCGATATATCCTAAAACCATCATCATATTGCGGCAACCCTAGTTTGGCCTTGAGTAGATTGCGAGTTGGGCCCCCATCACTCGCTGCAACTTTTATATATTCAAGAGTGAAAGAAGTAACGGTATGCCGTTGTATTTTTCAAAGAGTGCAGAACACATGGTGCTATAATTTTACATTAAGACAATGCTTCTTCAGCAAGATTACAAAACGAAAATATATTCACAAAAAGGGACAGGCTTCCAGGAAATGGAATAAGCAGTCTGCAGCAGGAGAGACGAGGATGCATTTTTCCCTCACGAGCCTTCAACAGAAAGCCACCGCAGCTGTGGGCGGCCATCAACGCCCCGAGTGCTCGACGCGCGGAGCCCTTACACGTTAAGTGGCGCTGTGGCTAAAGCGCTTCACGAACAATCATCATCATCATCATCAGTCGCGTTTTATTCACCGATGAAGGAAGTCTCCCAAATGCCATTACGGTCCCTCACACGATCCATCTCACTTTTTTCCGCGTAAGCTAATGTCATTGCTCCATATCCAGTGCTTGGTTTCTCCGGCGTGTTCCCTCCATTTTGGCTGCAATTCCATCGCCAGTCTCCTCGATTGGCTATCATCCCTGCTCATGACATGTCTTGCCCCAGCCTATTCAACTTGTCCTAATAATCATAATGACATCTACTTTAAGTCTGTTCTCTAAACCAGGTTGTCCTCTCTGTCTCTCCTCGTAATTCCCATGCTTCTTGTAATACCTGTCAGCTGTTGTTCCACGTTTAATGTTAGAGTTCACCATTCCTTGAGATAAGATATTAATTTTCTTTGTAATCCTCACAAAATTTACTCCACCCTGTCCTTTAAAAATAATAGTAAAAAACTATATACAAATGATCAAGACCATTTTAAAAGGTGGAACAGCTGCCCTGAGATTGAATACAGAGAGTAGCAACCTCCTTAAACCTGCAAGCTCCACCGCTAAGAATGGAAAGGGCAGCAGCATCAGTTATGGAGAGGATGCCACCACCTACTCCTAAGATTCCCGTCCTTAGTCGCCCGCTGTCCTGACTTGAGACATTTATCGCCGCCCTCGTTCATCGCTGCTGGCTCAGACTCCTGGAACTGTCTCTTGAATGGCATTGAGGGGGAGCGCACCCTAACCACAAAGACCGAAACAGTTCAGTGAGAAGGCCCAGCAGCATAAACTCCTCCTCAGCGCAACCAGGCAACAATGTGCAGTCAATGCTGGTATACCAGTAACTCCCACATCCCAATGAATGCAAAAAATAATCCGTACAGCTATTAAAAGTGGAATAAAGGATCTTTACAATAAGTGGAAAATACCGAAATGAAAATGGTTTCAGTTTATTTATTTTAGTATAGCCCTGTGAGTCATTCGGCTCTTGAATCGGGTGCAACCACAACAAACAAAAAAAACAAAAACACGAACAAGAAAAACATCTTAAAGTGACTATGTGTGACTGTGCAAACAGAAAATCCATAAAAAAACCAGCAAAATATTCCTGAAAAAAGCACCGTACACCAACGCTGTGTGCAAAAAATCCCAGTGGGATGCAAGTCAAACAACAACAACCACAAGAAAACTTAGATTAAGGCCATCAGTCTAACTCCGTACTACAACAAAACAAACATGTCCAAACCAAAAAACATTTTCGAAATCACGAAAAAATAAAGCCATAATTGCAACGTAACAGTGATCACAGGGACTGCGACCTAATTTTTACTATAAACTACATAAATAACATGTAACACCAAATCCTAGAGCCATAGCTGGCTGCATGAGTTACTTCACAAAAACAGAAGCATCAGTCGGAGTATCAAATTTTTCAATGCACTTTTAAGATCAGCATGCTAAATCAAAATACAGATAATACTTTGCAGCGTAATCCGGAGCGTAATATTTTATTTTATTTTACGCCAATGAATAGCAGTGGCAGCTAGGGGTGTACAACTCCTCTAGAGCAGTTTTGAGAGAAGATCTCATTGGTAGCGATTCAAGTTGCAGTTTATTGGCAATAGCATTCCAGACCCTGGGGGCATCAATAGCAAAGGCCCTTCCTCCAGTTTTTGTACGGCAATAGGGAATGTGAAGCTGGTAAATGAGCGAAGACCTGAGGTCAAATTTGTTCTTTGAAACAGAGAGGAGATCCAGCAGGTAGTCTGCGGATTTTTTTGTAAGTACATCGTGAATAAGATCTGGTTAAGTTAAGTTTGACCCAATGTCGAGATCACAGTTGTGAGTCCTATATGGGCAGTTCAATGTAAATCTTAAGGCCGAGTGATAGATAGAATCAAGCTTCTTCAGAACAGTACTTTGGGCTGATTTATAAACGATGTCACAGTAGTCAAGTAGAGGCAGTATGGTAGCTTTCATCAATTCCAAACGGAACATTGGGGGGAAGCAGTGCTTGTGTCGATACAGAAGACCAACTTTTATTTTTGTCTTTTTACCAATATAATCAATGTGATCAGGGGCGGAGCCAGGGGGTGACAGGGTAGACAATTGTCACCCCCGAAAAAAAAGTAAAAAATCGAAAATCTGAAACATTCTGCATATAAATGTACGACATTCGGTCTGGCGGACTCCGTGCAACTGCATTGTCAGAGTGTGTCGCCAACCGATGGCGTGGGGTATAGCTGATTTCTTAGCGCGTCGTCCTCGGCCTGCTCCTGAAGCGCAAGATGAGCCTGCCCTTCAGCGGAGGCGTGATTGTTCGCCTTCGCCGCCGCCGGATGAAGAACGGATTTCGCCACAGTCCGATGAGCAAGAGCGACTGCTACGGCCTGTTCGCGCTCTGGATCGCGACCCCGCTAGGAGGCTACCGATGGCGGCGATGGCGGAGTCGGACGCCGAAGTATTGCGCTACGCGTATCTGCAAGCGGGACAGTTCGTACCGCCTCCGGCTCCACAACCTGGCCTGACCGGGACGTTGAAATACCCGTCCAAGTTCGTTGGCGGCGCTGCCCGCCGCCCGACGACGTCTTGGTTTGTTCAGTTCGACTGGCTCGAGTACTCGTTCATCAGTGGGTCTGTTTACTGCTTCTATTGCTACCTCTTCCCGCCGTCGTCAAGCGCAGATAACGTTGCGTCGGCATTCATCTACTCCCCCGGCTTCTCAACCTGGAATAAGATCGGTGCCAAGAAATGCAGCCTACTCAAGCATCAGGGTGGGCACAAGTCGGCACACAACATCACCGTGAAGAAGGCCAGGGACCTTCTCAACGCCTGGCAGCACGTCATCACGGGCGACGCTGGGCTGGCCCGACAGAATGCCAAAACTATTGACGGCAACCGCAAGCGCCTGGACGCCTCCGTCGACGTCATGCGCGTCTGCATGAACCAGGGTATTGCGATGCGGGGACACGACGAGTCGCCTGGCTCTCTTAACCGGGGCAATTTTCTGGAGATTCTCAACATGTTATGCAAGCGCGACGCACTGCTTGCGGCCATCACCTGGGAGAACGCACCGCAGAATGCGACCATGACCAGCCCCGACGTTCAGAAGGACCTGATCAATGCTCACTCTCAACTAGTGCGCCGGCGCCTCGACACCGAGATTGGCGACGCGTACTATTGCATCATAGCGGACGAGTCGCGTGACGTCAGCAAGAAGGAGCAGCTGGTCGTCCTCAACCGCTTTGTCGAGGTCAGTACGGGCATCCTGCGCGAGCGACTCGTCGACATTCAGCACGTGTCGGACACGTGTGCGCCCACCGTCTGCAGCGCCATTGTCAACCTGCTCTCGAGTCGCAGGGCCCTATTGAGACCTGCCACGGCCAAGGATACGATGGCGCGTCGAGCATGAGCGGTGAGATCGCTGGCTTGCAGAACTTGATCAAGGCCATGAACGACATGGCCTACTACACGCATTGCTGGGCGCATAAGCTGCAGCTCGCTCTCGTCGCTGCCTGCACAAATGGCGTCGCCGACATTGCCGTGTTCTTTGACCTCGTCCAGGACACAATCCACACTGCCACCAGCTCGTGCAAGCGCAACGACCAACTGCTCGCCGAGCAGAAGAAGCTCGTCGACGACCTGGTCGATGAGCTGGCGGTCTCCACTGGTCGCGGTCAGAATCAGGAGACGGCGTTGTCGGCGGCGGGCAACACGAGGTGGTCGTCTTTCTGGCGCTCGCTGCACCGCCTGATTGAGATGTTCAACGCGACTGCCGTCGTCATCCAGAACGTGGAAGAGGACGGCGCCAAGGCAGAGCA